ATTAAAAATTACATCTCTTAAGCCTGGTAATCTAGCTATCGATATAGCCTAATTTACCTATCGGTATTTTAACCAGCCTAAATCTAGAGTTTCTCTCTGATTCTATTTTATTTCGCAATCTCAAATTAATATTGAAATCCTTGCAAAAGGTGACTATGAGGACTAGACTAACCCGCCCCACCTCGTAGCAACGGTGGCTCTTGTGACCTCACCTTGACCCCAAGTACGTTTTCGGTACTGCTTGTGGAAAAAAAAAATGACGTCACAGTCAATTTCAAATAGCTATTCCTGCAATACGTATGCTGCGTAGGCCTACCGATTAAAAAAAATTACTAAACTCAACGTGACTACGACCGTGTCTTGTTTGTGGAAGAAAAAATACGTTCATACTGTGGGGGAGTTTGGCTTTTGTAGGAGAGAGGGGAGTTAACTATCGTCAAAAAAACGTGGATGACCCCTAACAATTTACAGCTATTCCAAAAAAAACAACACATAAATATCGATGTGGCTTGGTTATCATTATGATTAACTTTGGTTCACACGTCAGACCCTCTCTAATTTTAGCTAACCTGGTCCATTTCATTTTTCCATCACATGAACCTAAAACTTTCAAATTGTAACTAATCTTAATCTAGGGTCTATACAGTTGAAGACAAATATTGTTTACCAATCCAATCTTTAAAAGAATATATATTAGGCATTAGGCCCCCTATTTAAAAATTGAAAACAGGAGTTCATCTAGAATCTACACTAGATTAGTACAGTTTAAATCAGCTTAATGGTAAAATAAAACTTAATTGCTACTTTTGTTAAATTGTAATTTTTAAAAAAGTTGTTTATAAGGTAAACATTAAATTGCAATTAGACAAGACTTTCAATGTTATTTTAGAGTAACATAAACTTCTTGTATTTAAAATATTAACTTCATTAAACAATTAATTAGTACAGTAACAGTATGAAGCTGCTTAACCGCGATAAAAAGTAGATAAAACATAGTGAGTTATTATCCTAAGAAAATTTCCTAATTTTTTTTCCTGGTCTGGTCACATCCCTGATATATATATATATATATATATATATATATATATATATATATATATATATATATATATATATATATATGTTTGTGTGTGTGTGTGTGTGTGTATTTAATAGTATTGATGAGTTCAGCTCTGACTGTTCCCATCCTTACACAAACGTGGGAACGACCATATCTTGATTCGACCGCAGACAAACTTTTATCTGAAACCAGACATGTAGACTTCAAAGGCTGGAACTGACACACGCGCTCTTGGTTTATCAGCTGGACTTGAAGATAAGGTAACCTTTCATCCTACCCGGGTCACGTGGTCTCGTGTGTTCACACACGTACCTGGCGATACATTCTACTCAGACCAGTGTAAGCGTTGCGTTTATATCACTCGTTGGTGTGCGATACTTCTCGTTCACTCGCACTGACTGTCTTTGTTTATATATATATATATATATATATATATATATATATATATATATATATATATATATATATATATATATATATATATATATATATATGCCTGTATATATATATATATATATATATATATATATATATATATATGCCTGTATATATATATATATATATGCCTGTATATATATATATATATATATATATATATATATATATATATATATATATATATATATATATATATATATATATATATATATATAATGGGCGCCCTAAGGAATATTTACCGAACATGAATACAGTTTTGGTATATGGTGTCTGGTCGACTGACCTTTTAATTACTGGCACCTATTCATGTTCGTTATAATATATAGACAGCTTGTGGCACATTGTATAAAAGAAGCAATCACTCAATAAACATCCCTGAAACATCTTTCCCTCAGAAATAGTTTTTTTAATTTTCTTTTACAGTAAAGCAGAAACAGCAGTTGTGAGAAATGAATATCAATTAGTGTTAAAAATATATATAATCATTTGAGACAAAAAGTATGGTGCGCCAGCGCGGCATGTTTCATAAAATCAATCCCAAGCTCAATGACGAACATTGCAATCTCGACATATCTTTGGCAGACAACAAATCATTTTAATTGACAATATGGTGGAGGATTTAGACAACAAGTCCAACTTCGTGAACAAACCGGACTGTGTAAAATTCCAAAACGTAGCATATTTAAAAATAACAAAAATCTAATTGTAAAATTTCAAAACGAAGCATATTTAAAAATAACAAAAATCTATGACAAGAGCGTTGGGTTAAAAAAATGGAAATCGATAATGGAAACTCACATTTCCTATTTCCCCTCGTAGATTAATCAAAGAGAAGAAAAAAATCGAATTAGTTAAAAAGAAGCACTGCTTCTTGGCGGTAATTGGCGTTTTCTTTGTTCTCTATGCTGGTGGTCTAGTTAAAAAATACCCCTGAAATAATTTGACCCTATTGCGACCGACAAAATAATCTTGACGCATTTTCAAATGATGACGTAGCTAAAGTAGGCCTGAGCTAGGTTTTTAGTGAACCTAACGAACACTGAGCCAGGAAAGTACTTGTAATCATATTTGCTTTGTCCTTAGAACTTTACTATTACTTCCACACAATAATTCCAGACCAACCCCATCCGAACACATGAAGTCCAGGCCTTTTTAGTTGGAGCCAGGAAGTCATGACCCAGTTTACTTCGACCCAGTAACTCATGACCCGGGTCAGTTTGTCCCAGGAATTAATGGCCGCGTGTAATTTGACCCAGTAACTCGTGACCCGGCATAGTATGACTCAGAAAATCGTGACCCGGTAAAGTTTCACAAAGGAACTGATGACCCATTTTAGTTCGACCCAGGAACATGTGACCTGTTTAGTTTGACCCAGGAACTGATAAACTCGCTACGTTTATTCTACTTGTCGTAACCAAGTCTTTACTTGAGCTAGGTTCTCTCCCCTGTACCGAGTTCTATCCCCTGTCCAAACTAACCATGATGCAAATGTTTAATGTTAGAGCTAGGCTATGTCCCTTGTTCTGATTTCTCTCCCCTATCAAAACTTACCATGATGTAAATGTATTAATGTGAGAGCTAGGTTATGTCCCTTGTTCTGAGTGCTGTCCCCTGTTCTGAGTTCTACCCCCTGTCTACACAAACCATGATGCAAATGTTTAATTTGAGACGTATTCCATTTCCAGGTTAACTTTAAAATCAGGCCCTCGGTAAATTTTATCCCAGGCAATCGCTTTTAAAAATGTAAAATATATTATATTGTTTTTAATTTTCTTGATAATAATATATTCGCATATTAGCTTCTAGAGATCTTTGTTTCTTACTAAAGAATATAAATAAACAAACGTATGAGTGATCTAGTACTCTAAAGGACCAGTTTCTCTTAAGAAGCAAAACAGCTTTACAATACATTGTTTTTGATCATGTACTAAATACATTTAAACAAGTAAAAATAATTAAACTACTAAAAAAGTAATTAAACTATTAAAAAATAATTACACGACTAAAAAAGTAATTACATGATAGAGTCTGATCACAGTTGAGACATTGTTTTACAAATAATCTTAATAGTATCTTTTTAAAACCATACTAATAAAGCAATCTTTTATACCTAACTCTACGAAAAAAGAACCACTATATACTTTAATTACCTTGTCTTTAATAGAATAATAGTTGTTCTTTAATGTACGGGATAAAACAATATTGATTACACTGAAAGGACAATGCTCCACATAGGGGATCAGTAATGCTTCTCTGTCTCCGTCATAAAAAAAAAACGAATATAAAAAAACTAGTTTCAGACTTTTCCTTTTTTTACCCTCTGACGTCATGATTTTGGTGGTGACGTCAGAGCTGCTAATTGCCTCCTAATTTTTAAAGGTGTAAAAATTAGATTCTGTTGTAACGTAAAAAAATCGAAGTGCATGTTTTTTTTTTTTAATTTTCATGTCTTATATCTATTATAAAAAAATATTTCCTCTCCTTAATTCTTCCATTATTTCATCGTGTTTTTATATCCTCCCCAAACTCTTCCTTTATTTAATCTTGTTCTTTAGCCATCCCAAAATTTTTCCATTCTTTCCTCCTGTTCTTTTGTCCTTGCCAAATTCTCCATTATTTCAACCTGGTTTTTACCCTCCCCATTCCACTTAAGCCCACACCAACTTGAAACGTCACGTAGAAATGTTGCTTCCCTTTTTGTTCACCATTGATGCTTTCCCTTTCAATACATTTGTTGAAAATGACGTCACACTATTTCACCACTTTCCTTTGCATTGTGACACAACCTCCTAAATTCGGATAGACCTACCCCCTAAAACTGATTTTTGGCTCCACCCTGTCCAACCCCATTTACGCACGTGTCCGTTCTTTACAAAAAAAAGCTCTTTATTCCTAAGATATTCAGGAGTTATTTCGTTTATGCGTCAAATATAACCAGTAAATGACGGAATAGTATAAATAGAGCCATTGTAAACTGTCTTTTACCTGCGATTGAGGTATCTAAAACAAAGCATTTTTTTTAAAAACGTTTCCATACCTGAACAAACATTTTAGAACGAAGTATCCGATTCTAGAGATTTTAAAAACTCATACAAATAATACAGCACATTTTTAAAAAGAAAAATAACAACCAAATTCTCAATAACAGTGAAGTAAACATAAGATATAGTAACAATTTCTAAATTATAAAGTCAGATCATGTAAACTAACAAAATTGTAAGAAATCAAGTCTTAACACCGTTATGAACACATCCGAGCGTCAACATTTTCTGATTTGAACACATTCTGAATTAGCGTATTCTAGGTAAAGTAAAAAAAAAAAATTTAAAAAAAAAACTACCTATCCAACAATCCTCGTAGAACAGACACACAATGTTTGACTGTAAGAAAGAGATCCAGTATAATACATTCCTTCACAAGATCTTTACGAAAAAGCACAGACAATTTTTTTTTGCACTTGTCCCTGTCAAATATATTTATGCGCACAAGCAATGTTATTTGACTGATATAAATCACGTTTAACAAAATGTGTACTTCGGTATTTTTCCGCCACACATGAGTAACATTTTTAAATTAAAAATAAATTCACCGTTCGTTTGATTATAAATTAAACCTCTACGCCACCGCAAAACACAGGACTTTTTTATCACACGGATGCAATAAAAATAGTCCCAGTTATTATCATCTGGACTCATCTCTCAACACCACCGTCATTGTATTCCTCCGCTCGCTGGCCAGCATCGTCGTGTAGCTCATATACGGGTTGTCGCTATTTTTAGCCGTACCACACGTGCGTTGGATTTTACAGGTGAGTATTCTAATGAAGGTTCTTCTGAATGCGGTGTTGAACATAGTGTAGATGATGGGGTTGGCGAGGGAAGCGATGTACCCCATCCATAAAAACAATGACATCATTTCCTGAGTGACGTTTGTGATACACGAAGCGCAGGTGGCGGATAAAATATTCACGGTGAAAAACGGTGTCCATAAAATCACAAACACCAAGAAAATTATTCCTAATACTTTAGACGCCTTTTTTTCATTACTTGCCGTCTTTTTTGAAAGGATGTGTTTTGACGGTGCCTTCCCTCGGTGGATGCGGAATGTGTTCCTAAAACTTGGTCGTTTGAGGGATTTTGAAAAAGTATCACCGGAAAATTCACGTTTGGGCGAGGTTAGTTTCTTACGAAAGCGTTGCTTGTTTTGATGTAAAGTCTGGTGCGGGCGGCGAAGTTTGATGCGGTTGGATTTCGGGCTGTCGTCGAGGGTGTCGTCCGTTTCCTCGAGGGTCATCTCGCCCTCGCTGGAGATGACAAGCTCGGGTAGAGTTGAGCTGACGGGGGACAAGCTCTGGGAGCTGTGCGCGGGCTTAAGCGTACTCACGTACGAGTTGTTCGGGTTATTTTTAGCGCAGCTTGGAATCGACCCGTTATGGTTATCACAGTTGTGTGTGGGTGTTGCCTCGTTTTCAATATGGTGAACGCTCGGATAAGCCTCGTTCTGAGAATGGTTATTATTATCCACGCCGTTGACACCGCAGCCGTTCTCGATGGGACGGAGACTGCTAACGGAGTTATTCAAAACGGATTTCACTTTCGGACTAGGCGGGTGTAGACGGATCGTGATGACGTCATCGTTGTTCGACGAACCGGAAGTGTCGTCATCGTCGTTCGTTTTATCCGAATTGTCTTTGTTGTAAGCTCGATCGGCCGAATCGCCGGAATCCGAATCGGAGGAGGATTGCGTGAGGGAGGAATTCATCGTTCGCCGGTTGAGTGGCGAGTTCGGCGCCGAGTGGCTGTAGCAGGTGGGGTCAATGCCCTGCACGTTGAGGGGGTCGATCAGGTAGATGGGCAGCGAGGATTCCGGTTCCAGAAGCGGTTTGTGTTCCTTAACGGATTTATCCGAACCGCTTTTGTTATCGTCTGATTCGACGGTCGATTGGCGACGTTCCCATCGACCGAATTCTTCCATCAGACATTGGTCCATTTCGGCCTGGATCTAATAGAAGTAAAAACAAAAAGACCAAATTATACATTCATGTGTATGTAATCACAATGAAAACAAGAAAGGTAGTAAAATAAATGTATGAATAATTATACTTAACCCAAGGATAGCAAAGAAAGTTGAAAATATCTACGTTTTTTTTTTACAACATAATGGTTAACCAATTATTCTCATGTGTTGCGTTCATGGTTGTAAAGAAGTTTAGAAAAAATAAAAATTCATAGAAAATTTTAGCTGTATATACATTAACATATCATGTCGGTGTGAATTATACTCAGGGCTCAAATTATTCGCTTAAAATATTTAAATGTATTCAATATGTGTATATATGTTAGCAAATATGTATCAATTAGCTTAGGCACACATTATTTGCTTAAAAGATTTAAATGTATGCAATTTATATATGTATGTTACAACTAAAAAATTGTTTTTAAGGTAAGGTATTGGTCATGGACGACAGTGAGTTATAATTTGAATGCGTTTTTATGGTTATTTTTTTTATCTAAAAGTCTATGTTACGTTATGTCTTGTTAGTGATTTATTACGTCCCTTGTAATGGTTATGCCCCTTGAGTGTTTACTGTGTAGCTGATATGTACCTGTCAGTTAGTTAACTACAGACAGACCGAGAGTAGTAAATGTAACAGTGGACACGTTCAATTAATGATAATAATTTGTTTTCAGATCGAGATGATTAGGACGTTAATTTTTCCCGTTGTATTGATTTTTTTCCCAATTGTAATTGCAGTGTGACCTCCCCTTAACGTTGACGGAGAAAGAGTGAGAATGGTTCAAGATCCTGGCATGAATATGGTACAAAGGCCGATAAATGGAAGACAATGTCGAGGATCTATAATTAATATAACGATAGGTTCAGCGCTGATATTCTCCGAGTGTCAACTACAGTGCATGTATTCCATGCAACGACTCTTCTTCTTCTTCGTTCTTAATTATTAGTGTTGAAGGGGATCGAGATTTATCGACCAGTGGGTTTGAACTCGAGACTTTGTTTGAATTTATCAACCATGAGCTTTTTTGCCGACTCGACCACGCCTCCAACACAATTAAGCGTTACGTGTCAACTGGTTATGCGCCATTGAGGCCATTGACTCCGATTTCAGCCTGCTTTTCTTTTTGGATTTGCTTCCATAGCCTTTGTCCAACCAAGAACAAACTACAAGGCAGCAGTTGTTTAAATTTTGGAGTTGTGTCTCCTAGAAGAGTGGCTGTCCCCAGCTAACAAGCCTCATCTGCCCGAGGGTTCGAACTCGAGACTTTTCGGTTTAGCAACCATGAGCTTTACCGACTCGACCATGCAACGACTCAAAGCGTAGGATTCTTTAATTTTTTTTGTTGAGATGTATGTATTGGCCATTAAAAGAGAGATAAGAAAGGCAAATTTTAAAATGAGGAACTTTTAATAAAATGTATAACCCCACCTCCAAAGTTTATAAAAATAAATAACCCTCTCCTCATCAATTCATAAAAAAAAATCTATTACGCCCCCCCTCACGTTTTATAACAAAAATCAATAGCTCCCCCTATATATATATATATATATATATATATATATATATATATATATATATATATATATATATATATATATATATATATATATATATATATATATATATATATATATGTGTGTATATATATATGTATATATATATATATATATATATATATATATATATATATATATATATATATATATATATATATATATATATATATATATATATATATATATATATAATCTATGGATGAGGACCAAGCTCCGGTACGTAATGCGATCTGAAAAGAAAAATGATAAATGTGTTTTCCATAAATACATCAACACCCATGCCATTATTTCTGCATGGTTTAAAGCGGTTCAGTTAGAAAAACAACCCGCAACCTTGAACTTTGTGCCTTGACCCTATTAGATTTTGCTGGGGGGAAGGGGGGTGTCATCAGTTGAGATGGGAAAACTTCAGATGAAGAATTTAACCCACCACCCCCTTCTTTCTCCTTTCTCCGTTTTCTTCGGTTACCTGTTTCAACCCTCTCCAATTACTGCTGTCAATTTTCGCCGAGATATTAATGTAAAAGAAAAACTAGGGCTATAGGAGAATGCACTTTAGGTATTTTGTGTTGAGCGGATGCGAGGAATTTTAATAAGATGTCGAACTAGAAGAAAATAGAAATAAAAATAACGAAGAACAGCAGAGCCGTGAATAGCGTCTACAGTTTTTTTGGGATAATTTTTTAATTTGAATTACAATTAATAAAAGCACGGAAGCGTGATAAAAAAAATAATCAATTTCCTGTAATCAGAGTTTTATTAAAAACTGATTTCTTCTAATACGCAGCGTAGTGTTATGATTAGAAGATTTTTAATAATTAGACATGTTTGTCAGGAATGGCAGTTAATTGATTTAATTGCCTGAATTCAGTTAAAAAAATAACCTAGGTTTCCGGCTATTGATGCGTTCAATGGTATTACGTCATAACAAATGCGCATCACATTTTTTTAGACTGCTCACCAGGTAGACAGGAAGATCTAAGAATTTTTTTTTGTACAAACGTTTTAAGTGTCTGGTTGTGTCAGCCCGCTAATGAGCCGGCGTCTGCCTAATAGGCTTCCTGCATTTGATCAATGGTACTTTGGCTGAACCTAATCCTGCTAAGTCAGCGTTTTGCTCTAAGTTTTTTTGAAATATTTAAATTTACTTTCATAGTGAGGAAGGTAGCCTATTGATTTGAATTTTGAAATACATATTTTATCTTTATTTTGCTTTCTCGGGGAAAAAATATTTTGAACTTAATAAAAAAAAAACAACACGTTTTCACGTTCTAAAGCTCCGTAAATTCTTATGGCTAGGCATACGCCTATCAAATCGAACAAACATTTTCCCTTGACAAAAGCTCTGATGAAGCTTTCTTTTTTTCCATTTTTCGTTCATTTTTACTTTCTCGTATATACTAAGTATAGAGAAAGTATTGTAATCGTGCACAAAAATCACTTGAAATTTTAACAATTTTCACCGTATTACACCTCAGTCCTTCCTCACATCCGAAGTATAGAGGACTTATTTTAATCGGGCAAAAAATATCAATCCAGATTTATCAAAATTAAGAGGTTTTATGCGTAATCCAGTCTGAAAAACTGGGCTTTGCAATTCTGTCCGTATGTCTGTGTGTCTGTCTGTCTGTCTGTCCGTGTGTAAACACGATAACTTGAGTACCGTTACAGCTAGGTTGATGAAATTTCATATATAAGTTTTTAATCAAAATCGTAGATCCTTATCAACTTTTGAGCGATTTCCGATAACCGGAAGTGGTATTTTTTTTACTTTGAATTTTTCAAAAGCCTATAACTTGAGTACTATTTCAGATAGATAAATGAAATTTCACATGTAAGTTAAAGATCAAATTTTGAGTAATTTCCGTTGAACGGAAGTAGTAATTTACGCTACTTCCGATTTCTCAAAAAACTAATGTAAATTTTTAAAGTACTAATAATATTGAGCACTATTATGCACTTTTTTATTTGGCGTTCACTTGGTGTGCAATTCTTTTGTCTACAAGATTTTATTCTATTTTTTAAACTTTAAGTATTTAAAATGGATTAAAAATCATGTCTATAGCCCGAGTTCCCACCCTTGTTGTTTTATATAAGAATATTCGAGAAAGTTTAGGGGAGATCACTCCCGGTTTATTTGTGGTTATTTTAGCGATGTATTGATAAATAGAGTACTTAGCATAGACTGTAAAGATTTTGTAATGATTACAGTATTTATTTATGTATTTTAAAATGTGTTATTACAATTGGCTAAACTAGGTGTAAGGGGTTAGGAGATCAAAATGAGATGATAAAAAAAAATAATCAACTTGATAAAATACTTCTGTTGCCAGTCGATTCAAATATTTGACATTAGTAGTAACTAAATGCACTTCTTAATCTTACTGATAATTTTTTGAACAAGTAATTTATTATACTACTAGTATTACACGCTATGTAGGTAAGTTAGGTTTTAAAAACATCTCAGTATTAAAGACAGTGTTTTATATAAATTAACTTTAACTTTTGTAAATAGCAGTCTTTATTAAACCTATATATTTAATCCTTAAGATAATAGCTCTTTTAAATATTCGAATACTTTAGATTGCACTTAGAAAGTAATGCTCATGTATTGAAACAAATATCCCTAAGCGAGTCTTTAGAGTAAACAATTACTATATGCCCACTGGCTGGCTATTTATTAAATTCTAATCTTGAAGTTACCATTGATCTTATGCTAACATTACAGACGATCGCTAACCGTAAAGTCTCATGTACGGAAGGCAGACTCAAGTCTACACTGAGTCCACTCAGCGCGTTTCGGTACCTGGCGCAAATTGTGGAGTGTAACGGCTTATTGAAATAAAGCTGAATAACGGTAATCAGAGTCCACAGTCAGAAAAAACAACAACAACAGGCGAACCCAAGTTCAATCGCTCCAGTGACTGGATTGTCTAAATATATATATTTACTTATAAACTTAGTAAATCTAGCAGTTGTTTATCATGGTGAAACACGAATTAATTTGCAACTTGTTCAACTTACCTGGAAATATCGTCTGTCCCACTCAGCAGACTTGTAGTCCTTGCTCAGGTTACTGTAACTCAGATGAAACGAAGCGTCACCTTCTGTCGTCGTCTCTCTCCCAGCCTTGGATACCTGGGTATCCGACTTGGCAGTGCTCAGCAATGTCAGTCCGTTTGTTTGTTTGTTCGTCCTTCCCCTTCTGTTAAACACCGGTCCTGGGACTTCTAGAAGATGGTTTGGTCGATCTGTGGCAGAGTTTTTTAAAAAGTTGTTCGGTCGCTCAATGGTCGAGTTTTTGAAGAGGTTGTTTGCTCGATCTTTTTCATTCAGACTGCTTTGGCGCTTTCTGCCTCGTTTCGAAAGACGTTTTCTCTTTGGAGTTTTTTTCGTGGTAGTTTCTTTTTTATCTTTAAGCCGGAGAAGACTGCAAGAAGAAGACGAAGGGAAAACGGAATCCGGAGAATCCGGAAGAGAATATTGGTTCTGGGGTTTTTGATCTGTCAAAGGAAGATGCTGTGGAGATGGTGATGGTAGGTTTAGGGTTATATTTTTAGATATCTCCGGTGGTGATGGTGAAAGAGAAGACTCATCTCGCGATTGAGTTTCCGGATTTTGCGTCCCGTAGCTTTTACAAAGATGACGAATTTCTTGTTGCTGTTGTTGGAGAAGTTGCTTCTTGTGAAGACGTTTCTGAAGAGATTTCTCGGACGTGGTCAAGCTGATTGGCGTGGTCAAGGACCTACAGGATTGGGAAGACTGCAGCATGCTGAAGTAATTTGGCTCGCTCTCACTGTCTTCTGTGTCGGACGTTTCCTGGAATCTAGTCGAGGACTTGGAAGTCGACCTGACTGCGCATGTCTGATTCGGCGGAGCGAGGTACGACATCTGAGGCTTGTTCCCGTTCCGGCCGGAGGTTCTCAAATCGCAATCACTGACGGTGTTGTTGACGTTCTCAAACTGGTAGACGCTGTACGTCGTGGCCGAGTCAGGTGCCGTAACTCTTTTATCACATTTCTGGTTGGAGATTGAAGTCTGCGATGTCGATGGAGACTTGCTGGGTCTTTTAAGATTAGACAGAAGTTTTGGAATGGCAAACCCAGTGCATTGGGCAGTCAGTTGAGCGAGCCTGGGTTTCAAGTCCGACCTATCTATGTGTTTCATTCTTTGTTGATTGTTCCAAAGAATCCTTATCGTCAGAACGTACGTGACAATCATTATCAACAAAGGGATATAAAAGGCGAAAATGGAGCCGTAAATAATGAAGTTTTTCAACACAGGAACACACATGCCGTCGTTGTACACGATAGAGGTATCTATAAATCCGTGGATACAGACGGGGCTTGAGATTGCCATGGAAACCAGCCAAACAAATAGAATTTTCCCAGCGACCATGCGTCTGGTTTTGTTTCTACCGTATCTCATGGGGTAGTTTAAGGTGAAGTACCGGTCCATGGACATGGTACACATGTGCCAGATGGAGGCTGAGCACATCAATACGTCACTGGCCACCCACAACACACAGATCTCGGGGTTCATTGGGAAACGTCCTGGAAAGAGAAGATAACAAATAATCAATATTGCAGTAAAAAGGGGGATAATAAATAATTGGAACGGCATAGCATTAATTAAGCAATTAAAACAATACCTGCGTTTGTAATAGCAAGACAAAGTAATAATTATGTTTGTTTTTATTGAAAAACTCTTTGTACGGCTAACTACACGGTATAATCAATACAATTATTTATTTTAAAAAGCGATACATTTTTGCGTAAATAAACCGTTTCTTTAAATTTATTTGATATACAAAAACTGTTGTTAAATGGACGATTAATAAACGTATTTTTTTTATTGCTACACTAAAAAGGTATTATGCAGGAAAGGCAAAATTTATGAGACGATCCTGGCTACGCTACTGATGCGACCTGTATATAAATAAACGCTCTTTCAACTGGTCAACATATTTTGTTTCCCTACATAGAAAATGCTTCACTGTCCCATTGACCCCCCCCCAACCCCCCCCCCCCTCTTTGAACAATTTCCTTTCTCCCCCCCCTCCTCCCCCCCCCCCCACCCGGACGGAGTCCTGACACTTTCATTCGACCTTCACCCCTTCTACTGTTATCCCTTTCAATTTTTTATAATCACATACATGACATCATGTAAATATTTATTATGTACATTTGCAAAACCTTTCGCTTTCATTTGATGTTCGAAATTATGTAAAGAATTTGATGTTGATGTACTTGTTTTAATTGCAAATAAAAGTATTTAAAAAAAAAGCAGGAAAGGCAAAAGTTAACTGCGTTCAATTAATATGTTTACGTTACATTATCAACCTAGGCTAAAAAAAAATCAGTGACGGCCAATAGCTTAGTTCAAAGATTTTCGAATTAAAAAAACAACAAAAACAAACGCAAACTACATTAGAAAGCATAAATGTTTGCGTTTTGTATGTGTGAGTACTTTTCATATTTTTTGTTAGTACTTTTCATATTTTTTGTTAGTACTTTTCGTATTTTTTGTAGAAAAATTATTACTACATGTCGCTCAGCAAGTTAGGCTGCAAACATGGTAATAAAAACAAAATTACAGTGCGGTTCAAGAAACTCTGATCATTCATACCAATTATATTAATAACGTTTTCGTGTTAAATAATTATATCAAGCAAAGCTAAACATTATATTTAATCGATGGGCTAACGATCAAAGCAATAATTTTTAATCAGTTAAAATATTTTATGTCTAAAATAATAATTGCTATTGATTGGCCGGAGTTCGTATTTCGAAACAGCGTGATTCTGTGGAGGAAATTGTTTGATAACATGTCACAGCATTAGTGTAGGATTAACGTGAGCATATAATTAAAGCATGTCGTGTCAGGTGTGTTTATACACTGAATATGTAAAATCGATGGAGATGGAGATCGATGAATCAATCAATGTGGGTTGGGATTTGATTAAGTTGAACTTTAATGGATTAAATCATGTCCGACCTAATGTAGAGGTGTTAGGGTTTATAAACAGTGTTGCTTCTATTGGAGTTTACAACTCTTGAGTTTAGGAATGTATATGACTGTTGGACTACTTATGAAATGTATCCAGCACATGATTTTTGCCATGGTTCTATAGCGCATGTTTAGAGGACAATTGTGTATATTTCCATCTCACTACTCACACCTTATCATCAACAGCTGTCACTGTAACCACCAACATTGTTTGTCAGCAACACAAATACACACATACAAACACACACACACAAACATACAAACACACACACACACAATCAAACATACTCAATCAAACACACACACTGCTGACCAGCAAACATCCCCTCCAGCCGCACCCCCACAACCCTCACCAAAACCACATACCCACAAACGACCTAATACTTTTCGTTCCCCAACACATTAACTTGCATTCCTCAAGTCGACCCGTGATACCCACCTCACCCCTTACCATAACTTACCTAACTCACCTTCTTTTTCTTCTTCTTCTTCTTCTTCGTTCTTAATTATTAGTGTTGAAGGGGATCGAGATTTATCTGCCAGTGGGGTTGAACTCGAGACTGTTCGAATTTTATCAACCATGAGCTTTTTGCCGACTCGACCACGCCTCCAACACAATTAAGCGTTACGTGTCAACTGGTTATGCGCCATTGTGGCCATTGACTCCGAATTCAGCCTGCTTTTCTTTTTGGATTTGCTTCCATAGCCTTTGTCCAACCAAGAACAAACCACAAGGCAGCAGTTGTTTTAATTTTGGAGTTGTCTCTCCTAGAAGAGTGGCTGTCCCCAGCTAACGAGCCTCATCTGCCCGGGGGTTCGAACTCGAGACTTTTCGGTTTAGCAACCATGAGCTTTACCGACTCGACCACGCCGACCCCACCTAACTCACCAACCCCACACTTTTCCTCTTCCCTCCCCACCTTCCCTATCAGCTACCTATAAAAACTCTTCACTCTACATAATTTATTAACCTTCATGAACGTACTTACTCTTCTATATTATAATATAAAAATATGTTTTGATTGTTCAAGGATTGAAAAGTCTCACACATTTGACGCATATTTATATCGCTAATTAAAACGATGAATTTCTCTCCAAAAGAAATACAAACAATTTTTGTCTATCCTCTACAATTATATACATGTTGTAGAAAAAATATGTCAAAAAATTAAGCATTGCAAATATTTATGCTAGTAATTCTTCTTCTTCTTCTTTCTTAATTTTAGTGGTCAACTAGTTGTGCGCCACTTAGCAGCTGACGCCGATTTCGGAGTGCTTTTCTTTCTTGTTTTTTTTAACTACCAAAGCCTTTGTTTGATTCTGGAGTTATTACTCCTAGGGAGCTCCTTTTCGAGGTTTCAAACTCGAGACTTTTGTTTTAGCAACTATGAGCTCTACCGACTCGACCACGCCGACGCCGACGCCTACGCTAATTTTGTTATTGACAATTTTATATAATAAGCACATAGTAATCTGCATCAGAACTCACGTATTGCATTCTGATGTTAAGTTCGAATTTAAAATGTGTTTGTCTGTGTTGATACATTTCTTAATTAACATTATGCACGGCAACAGCCGCTGTTCTTATCAGGCAGACATATAACAGTACCGGGAAAATGTCGTAAATCTAATTTAATTAATTCATTTAATTAATTTCTCATTGATGAAAGCGTGTCTGGCCATTACTTGTTTTTCTTGAATGTGGTTTCAGTGAATGAAAAGTGTAACTTGTTATTCATACATGAACAATGAACAAGTGGGATAGACATTTGTTTGTCTTGCTAATAGCAGGAAGTGACGATGTGGGTATGTACACTAAAACAATATCCTAACATTAACTTTACAAGTTACGTGTATGCCAATAAATATGGTACGTATTTAAAAAAAAATATAACAGGTGTATTAAGACTACCGTTCTTACATCAAGTACGAGTACCAATGTTTGTGATGACATCTCTTTAACTCTGGCTATACACAGACGTAAAGCACAGCTCATCAACCTTCTCACTTACCAATTCTTCATAGACAAAGTGCATTCCACTATAAAGAGACTTAATGTTTTTCTTTGCTCAAAGAACTTAAACTTAACCCTATGAGAAATCTGTATAAAATCTGTCGAAGTTACAACAAGCCTTATAGTTGCCGTGTGAAAAAGGTTTTTGAATTATATATTACGTTTGCGTTTTCAAACTATATCTGCTTTATATATATATATATATATATATATATATATATATATATATATATATATATATATATATTCCTTTGCAGATAGCTATATCTGAATTACAAATATCGCATTTAAAAAACTATAAAGCTATACACAAGATTAGCGTATCAGTACAGTAAACTACAGTGTCTCTTTGAAGATGAAATTTCAATATTTCAAATGTTCTTCCCACCAGACAATTTTATTCGTGCTCACGGTAACGAGGGCCGTATATTTAGAACCGAGGACAGAAACTGCTAAACAGCACCCATCTAATCTTCACACATCCTGGAACTGTATTGATGTATAACTTGGGCAGTAAAATACAAGATAACAGGTTACATGTTATAAAAAATTGAAATGAAATTTTATATTTATTTTTCGTGACGGCTGAAATGTTTCAGCTATTTACCTTGAAGATATTGAACGCTTTATGGCAGGATGCATGTTTCGTTCTTACCGATTAGCTATAGCGTCGTACTTCTTTCCATAACTTGTGATCGCCCGAATTTTAAACAACGGTGCAAAGCGTCAAGACTATGCTTGGCATTAGAGTTAATGTTTCGTATAGTATGTTAGTGCTTAGGTTAAAAGACAGACCTAAGATTGAAGTTTTTGAGACAGATGCAAGGCAGATTGGAGTTTAGATATGAAACATGAAGACTGAGGACAGTGGAAGATGGTGATTAAACAGATCAAATTCACTCATAGTGTACACGAACCGGGATGGGAATATAAAGGCATATATGATAGTGCGCGGTATTGCTGTCAAGTATTTCAATCAGATGTACACCAAGAATGAATGTTGCAACAGACTGTAATTCAGGTGTAATGTATTGGCATTGTATTTGGGCTGAACATTTAAGGAAGAATAATACCTGGCAAACGGAATGGCTTTAAGAGTCATTAATCATGTTTTTACCATGATTTCGGTATAGTCTTTAATAAATGTTATGTGTATATAGATATAACGTTTGTTTTAAGAATTCAACAATTTAACAACACCGCATTTTTAAAAAATATACATAAAAAAAATAAACACTGCACTTTTAAAAATTCCTGCCACAAATTAAATTAAAAAACATAAAATAATACAATCAAACGAAAAATGTAAAACAAAACTATTTAAAACACCCGAGAAAGCTTCAACCATTTATCCACATGCAAGTTTTAGAGCGTCTGAAGTTTGTACGCAGTATGGAACCCCGGAGTTTAGAAAATACATTTCCCGGGAACATAATACGTCACCTGCCGATATTATGACCGTTAGTTAAAGTTGAGAAGGTTAGGTCGTCATCTGCTGGTGTCTTGAATGCGGTGCAAGCTATATCTACG